CTACTTAAAGTTCCTGCTAACCAAGTTTTGAAGGCAAAAGGAAAGCTCATGACAAATGCATGTCTGCTCTGATGGGACATTCTGTTCTCAGCTCCTAAGGCCAAGGAAAGGGAGAGAAGTCCCCGGGGGGCCTGGAAACACCCATACTGAAGACAAGACCCCAATGCGTCTGAAACGGTGTTTTGATAATTGCTTAAGTCACAAAGCAAAGGGCAGTTGTGAAAATTAATGATCATTCGAAATTTTCTCAGTCGAGGTCAGCGATTCAGTAGTTAGCTTGTTCTGCTTTTCTTAAAGGTGGCTTATTGTATTTAAGAAGTATAAAAACCTCAACTTGTAATTTTGACATTAAGAAAGCCAGCCATTCCTTCCAAGGTTTTTCAGTAGAGGGAATCCTGACGGTTCATTTTCTAAACCCAAATACGATACAATGGCGCACAGGCGTGTGTGTGTGTGTGTGTGTGTGTGTGTGTGTGTGTGTGTTTTGCTTCCACCTGGTAGCTGACTGTGGGCTGTACCCAACACATAGGATTGTGGCTGAAGTCCAGTTTGATTAAAATCTGTAAGAAAAAAATAGGAATACACAACTTTTCGAGTTTACGTCTCAACTCTGAAGACAATATTAGTTCGTTGAAATCAAATTCCATATCTTGAAAAGAGCTGTTTCCGAACTTGGCTCCCCCAGGCAAAAAGCAAGACTGGTGGGAGTCAAAACTGTGAGACAGAAGCGTAGCCTCACTTCTCAGGGTCTGCCTTCCAGGCCGGCCGGCCGGCTGCTGTGTTTAAGGAGGGCAGCCACTCACACTGAGCTGGGAGCTGAGGTCCACCCTGTCAGGTCACTTACAGACCAGATTCCGAAGACCCTTTTTCTCAGAAGATGCTCCCAGGATCAAGAGGTGGTGACCTGGTCATCTGAAGCTCCCTGCTGATGAGAAAGGCTGGAGGGTCTTGGAATTCAGCTCCTAGGGGCACAAGGGAGGGAGGGAAAGGGGGGTCCCTGTGCCCTCTGCTGAAAAGGAAGGGAGGTCGGTATCTTTTTCTTCATTACGAGTCCACTGGCCATCCCTCCAGCACAGCATTGAAAGCAGTCCTTTCCGTTAAAATTTGAAAGGGACATACCCATTTACTTAGCCGTTCCCCTTGCAGAAGGAGCTATATAAAAACACTTGTGTACAATAGGGACCTCAAGTTAAGAACCTCTACTATTAAAAAATGATGGAAATAGAAAATCACCATTTGGCAAACACCATAGTAATAATTATCGCAAGCAAGAATCATCAACTGATGCTAAAATTAGCAGGTGAAAGTAGATGAGAAACAGGATATTTGTATAGACTCAACATATCTCCCCACAAGATACTTATAAATGACAAAGGAAAAATAGTTACACAACCGTGGAGAAATCTGGCAGACTTGATCACCAATGATCACCCAGTGATCAAAGTTAACATCACCAGTAATGAGACGTGTCGATGTGCTGTACCTCTTAATATGCTGCACTGAGATGGGCACCACATCGCTTGTACAGTTAGTTTCCTTGCTAAAAACACATAATCTCAATCAAATCACGAGGAACATCAGACAAACCCAAATGGAGGAACAGCTTCAAAATAACTAGCCAGGGCCGGCCCCGTGGCTTAGCGTTTAAGTGCGCACGCTCCGCTACTGGCGGCCCGGGTTTGGATCCCGGGCGCGCACAGACGCACTGCTTCTCCGGCCATGCTGAGGCAGCGTCCCACATACAGCAACTAGAAGGATGTGCAACTATGACATACAACTATCTACTGGGGCTTTGGGAAAAAAAGGAGGAGGATTGGCAATAGATGTTAGCTCAGAGCTGGTCTTCCTCAGCAAAAAGAGGAGGATTAACATGGATGTTAGCTCAGGGCTGATCTTCCTCACAAAAAAAAAAAATAATAATAACTAGCCAGTGCTTTCACAAGTGTTAAGGTCATGAAAGACAAAGTAAGACAGAGAAACTGTCCCAGATTGGAGGAGACTAAGGACACAGGATGACTTAAATGCAGACTGGGATCCTGGACTAGATCCTGGACCAGAGAAAGGATATTAGTGGGATGGTTGGCAAAATTTGAATAAGGTCTAAACTTAGTTTATAGTATTGTATTATTGTTAACTTCTTTGTTTGGATAATTGTGCTATGGTTATAAAAGATTTTAACCTTAGGGGAATGCTACAGACTGAATGTTTGTGTCCCCCACAATTCATATGTTGAAACCTAACCCCCAACGTGATGGTGTTAGGAAGCAGGGCCTTTGGGAGGTGATTAGGTCGTGAGGATGGATGGAGCCCTCACGAATGGGATTACTGTCCTTATAAAAGAGGCCCACAGAGCTCCCTCACCCCTTCTGCCACGTGAGGACACAGTGAGAAGACAGCTATCTATGAGCCAGGAAGCAAGCTCTCACCAGACACCGAATCTGCTGGCACCTTGATCTTGGATTTCTCAGCCTCCAGAACTGTGAGAAATAAATGTTGGTTGTTTAAGCCACCCAGTCTATGGTGGTTTGACATAGCAGCCCAAGCGGACTAAGACAGGGAAGTTGAGTGAAAGGTAAAGGTATACAGAAACTCTGTCTACTACTTTTTGCAACATTTTTTAAATCTAAAATTGTTCCAAAATAAAAAGTTAAAAAAAAAAACACTTGTAACAATGTTAAAATATATATATACTATGATGCTGATTAAAGTATAGCCTGAAATAGCTAAAACTAGGAAACCACTTAAATAGCCATCAATTGAGGACATGGGAAATAAATGATGATCTTTCCTACAATGGAATATTACACACCTGTTAAAAATGAAGTGGCTCTATGGGAACTGATTGCAAAACATTTTTGGGGGGAAAATCAAGTTGCAGAACAAAGTAACATCATCTGATCTTTGTTTAAGAAAATATGTATTTATGTATAAGTGGAGGAAAAAAATCTAGAATGATACACTCAATAATAATAATGGGGTTAGGGAAGTGGACATGAGAGAGGAGAGAATGCTCATTTTTTTACCTTATTCAGTGCTGTAATGTTTGGATTTCTTTTTTACAGTGAGTATATATCACTACCTTCACTATAACAACAACAATTCTGGCCCAAGGCCAGAATCTCTGCCACATTTGTCAGTCCCACCAGTTCACACTGCAGGCTAATTCTGGGCGTCAGCTCCATGCCCAGGGGGCTGTAGGGGGCAGCACTGTGTGGGCACAGGCCTTGACTCATGGGCTCACTCTCCATCTTTAACAATGAAAACATACCCAACTTATGATGATCCTGTGATGGTGAATTTTATGTGTCAACTTTGCTAGGCCGCAATACTCAGATATTTGGTCAAATGCAAATTGATGTTGCTGTGAAGGTATTTTTTTAGATGAGATTAACATTTAAATCAGTAGACTTTGAGTAAAGCAGGTTACCCTCCATAATGTGGGTGAGCCTCATCCAATTAGTTGAAGGCCTTCAGAAAAAGACTGACCTCCCCTGAGGAAGAGGGAATGCTGCCAGCTGACTGCCTTCCAACTCCAGCTGCAACATCAGGTCCTCCCCGGGTCTCCAGCCCATCAGCCTACCATGCAGATTTTGGACATGTCAGCCCCCACACTCACATGAGCTAATTCCTTAAACTCTAACAATCTCATACATAAATATATACACACACACATTCTATTGGTTCTGTTTCTCTGGAGAACCCTGACTAATACAGACCCTGTACAAAATGTCAATCCAGGGGGGCACAAAGTGCTCCCTTAACACAGAGGAAGAGACGGGATTTGGAGTTTGAGGAGGGTGGTCCCAGGCAGAGATGGGGAAAGGTCTTTGAGGTAGAAACCCGGGGCTGGACAGGTGTGGGGGAGAGTGGGAAAAGGAAGCCACTCCCTGGAGCTGGAGCACAGCCTGGAAGAGGAGAGGATGGGGAGGTGGGCGAGGTGGGGGTCTCAGAGACCGGGAACGTTGGGCTACACGCTTAGATCGCTCCCTCTGAATGCTGAGGAGCTGCTGAGGGCTTGGGGGAGGAGTGGTGAGAGAGGAGGGACTGTGGAGGGGCAGGGCTGTAACACGGATGGGTCTGTGAGAGACGCAGAGCTGTGACAGGGGCAGGGATGAATGAGAGGGGAAGCGCGTGAGAGGGGCGGGGCTGTGAGGGGGCGGGGCTGTGAGAGGGGCGGGGCTGTGAGAAGGCAGAGCTGTGAGAAGGGACAGGCTGTGAGAGGGTGGGGCTGTGACAGGGGACGGGCTGTGAGAGGGGCGGGGCTGTGAGAGGCAGGGCTGTGAGATGGGAGGGGCCTTGAGTGGGCGGGGCTGTGACAGGGGGCGGGCTGTGAGAGGAGGGCTGTGAGAGTGGTGGGGCTGGGAGAGGGTGAGACTGTGAGAGGGTGGCGCTGTGAGGGGGCGGGGCTACGAGATGGGAGGGGCTGTGAGGGGGCGGGGCTGTGAGGGGGTGCTGTGACAAGGTGGGGCTGTGAGAGGCCCAGCGTCTATGAGAGCGGCAGAGCTGTGACAGGGGCCGGGGTGAATGAGAGGGGAAGGGCCGCGAGAGGGTGAGGCTGTGGGAGGGGCGGGGCTGTGAGAGGGCGGGGCTGTGGGAGGGCGGGGCTGTGAGAGGGGAGGGGCTGGTGGGTTGGGCGGGGCTGGAGGCAGGCTGGATTTGCAAGGGCATCATAGGCCCTCATTCTCCTCTGTAGCCCCAAGGCTGGCTGGTTCCTTCTTCAGCCACACCTGGCCCTTCCCCACCCACTCCGTCCCCTCATCCCACTCATTGACCATTGCTGGTTTCTCCCCATCAATCAGCCACTGGATGGTGAGGGAGCACGTCCTTTCATCTTTGCACACACACCCCCCCATGCCCTGTACACAGAAGGTGCTCCAGAAATGCATGTTCAACTCTTGTTTCCGAGCGTCAACCCGCCTCCCCCGGCAGCTGTGCTGGGGTTGGATTCATCCCAGGGAACAGAAAGGAAGGGCAGAGCTGGCCAGCCCCATGGCGTTTACCTCACGAGGTTGGCGCAGGGCCCCGGCCACCGGCAGCTCTGGTACACACGCTGGACCACCGTCTCCGAGCCATTCTGCACCTGGCAGGACACCGTCCGTGTCACCGTGTGATGGCACCAGTGCCTGTGGGGAGAGAAACAGTCACATCAGCCCTGTCTGTCCCTGAGATACCGACTGCCAGTCAAAAGCACATGCTGGCCTAGAAGGGGCCTCTCCACAAGCCTGGGGGGGGGGGCTCGTTCTCTTGGGTAAGGGGCCCACTAAGACAGGGTCTAAGGGGAAGAGAGAGTACCCACATTCCTCGGCCACCAAGCCCTGGCATCATTTCAGTCACCAAACACTCCATGTGGAATCAATGAAAAAGGCTGAATGCCTGTCCCCGGGCCATCACACTCTGGAGGGGAGACAGACGAGACGATCACAATGCACAGGAACACGGAGTCATGAATACAACCACATGATGAGCACAGGGAGCTACGGGGACAGAGTGGGGCACCCAACCCAGGTCCTAAGAAAGGCCAACCGGCTGAGTACTGAAAGATAAGAGTCAGTGACCAAAAGTGGAGGCAGTGAGAGGGGTCAGCATCAGCAGAGCAGGGAGCAGTGTGAGCAAGGGCACGGAGGTGGGAGAGACACGGCTTGTCCAGGGACGCATGTGTAAGTGGACATGGCCAGATGGCTGGAGGAAGGGGAGGAGCTGGGAGAACGGGAGAGGCATGTTACCCACCAGGCTCCATGTGGGTCTTATCATGAAGGCACTGAAGGACTCTGAGCAGGGGGATGACCGGATGGGTCTGATTTTAGAAACGTCCCTCTGGTGCAGCGTGTAGGAGGTGAGGAGGCCTGAGCTGGGGCATGGTAGTGGGGAGGAGGGGACATATGCAGACAATGTGGTGACAGGATCAAGATGGCAGACAAGCACATGCTCCCATCCCCAGATCCCAGAAATTTAAAATCTAAAAATAAGTCCCTGCCATGACATCAGCAAGATGGTTGGGATAGAGGTTCCCCACTCACATCTCCCCTCAGTAACAATCATTTGCAGCCATCCACAGACAAAAACGCCTTTGTGGAAGCTTTGGGATTTCTGCAAACCATATATCCGATAAGGGGTTAGTATCCAAAATATATAAGGAACTCATAAAACTCACTAGGAAAAAAACAAATTCGGATTAAAAATGGCCAAAGGACCTGAGTAGATATTCTTCCAAAGAAGACATACAGACGCCCAACAGGTATATGAAAAGGTGCTCAACAACACTAGTCATCAGAGAAATGCAAACCAAAACCACAATGAGATATCACCTCACACCTTTAGGATGGTTATTATCAAAAAGACATGAGATAACAAGTGTTGGCGAAGGTGTGGAGAAAAGGGCCCTGGCTCACTGCTGGTGGTCATGTGTGATCCAGGAATCTCACTTCTGGGTATATATCCAAATGAAAGAAAATCAGTATCTTGAAAAGATATCTATACCCCCATGTTCATTGCAGCATTATTCACAATAGCCAAGATGGAAACAACTTAAATGTCCATTGCCAGACGAATGAATACAGAAAATGTAGTATATATATACAATGGAATATTATTCAGCCATAAAAAAAGAAGGAAATTCTACCATTTGTGACAACATGGAAGAACCTGGAGGACATTATGCTAAATGAATAAGCCAGACACAGAAAGACAAATACTGTATGATCTCACTTAAATGTGGAATCTAAAAATGCTGAACTCATAGAAGCAGAGAGTAGAACAGTGGTTGCCAGGGGCTGGGAGTGGGAGAGATGAGGAGCTGTCAGTCAAAGGGTACAAACTTCCAGTTATAAGATGAATAAGTTCTGAGGATCTAAGGTACAGATTAGACCTATACATGGAGATTATAGTTAATAATACTGTATTGCATGGTTGAAATCTGCCAAGAGAGTAGAAGATCTTAAGTGTTCTCACCATAAAAAAAAAAGGTAACTCTGCAAGGTGATGGGTGTGTTAATCATCTGTGGTAATAATGAACAGGTATATTAAATCATCATGTTGTACACCTTTAAAAAATCACATTGTACAACCTAAATACATACATTTTTATTTGTCAACCATAACTCAATAAAGCAAGAAAACAGGAAGCAAGTGGGCCAGAAATTTTGAGGAATCCTTCAGAGACTAAGTGGGACTAAATTGAAGGAGGAAGCCAGAGGGAAGAGGACTGGAGCTAAACGTGGGTGCGAGTTAGCAGCAGCAGATGTGGCTAACGGGATGGGGGAGGGCCCCAGGGTGACTGTCAGAGGACCACAGCAGAAAGAGCCAGCCAGACAGGACCCAGATCCCTCTCCTGCTGGGTCAAGAATCAATGGATTCGCCTGTTTTGAGGCTGGTGTGGTCAGAGTGGGAACCTCAAAAGCTGGTGACCTCCAGAAGAAACAGACACCCTCTCAAGGTCAGACAACTGAATTCTTGCACACTCTTTCTCTACCTTGCACCTGTAGCACCAACCCTCCAAGAGGAAACGCAGCAGCAAACAGAGAAACAGAGAAAAGCCGATGGAAAACCCCAAATACCAAGAATTTCAAGTCATTTGAGAAAAAAAGGCCAATACTGTGAAAGAAAGGCACCAACTCAACAGACAAGACATCACACCTCAGGACAAAACAATTAATAAAGCTAATAGATGGAGACAATTTTTAAAGCATAATTAATGTCCTCAAAGAGAAAAGAGAATTTTTCACTCATAAAAATATTATGAAACGGAAAAACTAGATATCTTGGAAATGAAATGTATGACTGAAAATAGAACGCTCAAGAGATGGGCTGAAAAGCAGAAAGGACACAGCTGAAGGGCAAGCAGCTGGTGAGCTGGAAATCTGAGCTATGACTTTCCAGGGATGCACTGCAAAGGGACAGAGAGATGGAAACTGTGGGAGAAAAGGTGGGACCTAGAAGACAGACCAAGTTCCAACATAGATACTTGAAAAAATAATAAAAAAATTTCCGAGAGCTGAAGAAAGATGTAAATTCTTAATTTGAAAGGGCCCACTGAGTGCTAAGTGAGATAAACAAAAACAGACAGACATACTGTGGTATCATACTGTCATCCTCATACTCAGGATGAGGAGAAACTACCAAACACTACAGAAAGAAAGGAAAACAGATTCCCAACAACAAATTGAAATCAGATTTCTTATTAGCAACATCAGAGTCAAGAAGATAGTGACACAATTGCTTCCAAGTTCCGCGGGGAGATATTTAGAACACAGAATTCTATACCCAGGCAAAATTTTTCAAAATTTTGACAATTTTCTAGGAAATTTTATATTACTGCTATTGGCACAGTCAAAAATGCCATAGAAGGAAATGAAAAAACAGTCAAAAGTCGATCCCTCTTTCCAAAGGCACCAAGAGACCTAGTTCATAACCTGGTTCTGCCACCAACCTGCTGTGTGACTTCAGCAAAGTGATATGTCTTCTCTGAGCCTCAGTTAAATAAAAAACTCTACCTCTCAAGGTTCTTGTGAGGACTAAATGAGCACATCCAGGTTAATGGTGTGTAAATCGGGAGGCACTACATAATTCAAGTTATCGTTATTGATTTGCTGGCTATCGAAACCCCACAATGTTTATAAGAGCAAAGGATTGTCCTTCCTATTTTGCAGATGGAAAAAAAAGTCCTGGGAGGTTAAACCTCATTGCCCATAGCCCAGACCAGAGGCTGAGCTGGGAAGGGAATCCAGCCTTCCTGCCCACGGGACCAGCAGGGTCCCACCTACCCAGTACAAACCACAGCTCCTGCCTCTGCCAGCAACTCTGGGAAACTAGGTCTGGAAATTGCGTGAGATATCAGCCGCCTGGGCCCTTCCTTCCTCTCTACCAGGGAGCATGGGCGCCATCTTAGGCATTAAGTGCAATTCTCTTCAGGACGAACTACCGTCCAATCCAGGTTCGGTGCTCCACCCGAGATCCGCCTCTGCAGGTCTGGAACAGACCAACCGTCCAGCCATCTCAGAATCACTGGGTCCGGACTTTCTATAGGGAAATGAGCTGTGAATTGGAAAACACTTTCAAATGCTTCGATTCATCATCTCCAGACACTGGATCTTTTAATGGGCTGTAAATGGCTTCCCAAAATCAAAACCTGGCCAACAACAACAAAGAAGGCAAGCGGAGACAAGGAAAGAGGGCTCCCGGCCTTTCCAGATGGAATTAAAAACCACGTTCATCTCCAGACACCTGAGGTTCCAGGGAATCTTGCTCCCCGGGGAGTCAGGCTCCCTCTTAGGATCCCTGTGTCCTGAGCTAAGTCTACGTCTTCTACCCATCCCCACCCCAACCATCCACGGTGGGTGCATAGTGGTGGGTGAACAGGGCTGTATGGGCTGCGAAAAATCTCCACCCAGAGGCTGGCTTGGGAGGAGACATATGTCCCTTTTACGGCCCTGGAAGGACTTTGGGAGTGGTCCTCAAACGGCCTGGGAAGTGAAGGTGCCCTCAGCGCCTTCATCAGGATGGGAAGGGACTGGAGTTATCTCTGAGCATCATCTCAGCAACAGCCCTACGTCAGCTCCTCTCCCCTCCCCAGCTGAGCTCGTGGAGTGCAGGATGGGAAACTCTCTCCCAGCCTTGGGGACGGATCTGCTCCTCTCCAGGTCCTGGTCTTTATGAGAAGAGGCCCACTCCTGAATGGGGAACAGCGACTGACCTGGCTAAGTGTTTGTCTCAGTGGCTTGGCCAAGCTGTGAAATCCTTAATTTAGGGTCCTTTGGGAAAACAAGTGCTAAGTGGCTTCAGGAAATTATGTCATGATGGAATGGAGGGGCCTCTAGGGCACCCCCAGCCCATGCTCATCTCTGAACAGAACTAACCGACAGGTCTCCAATGCTGCCTGCCACAGGGGGAGCGCCACTGCATCCCCAGGACCCCGAGTCTGAACCAAGCCCCTGGGCTTTGAGGGCCCTCCCCCTCCGTGAGGAGACCTCCCCTTCCATGAGGACCACCCAGTCTGCCCCCATTTCCCTGTCCCGCGCTCTGCTCCACCCCGACGTGGAGTCACCTCAATGCTTCTTCTCAACCCCAACATATGTGCCCCACTTGCCTGGACAGTGTCACATCATCATAGCCCATGGGACACCTCAAA